GATGAATGACGCCTGATCTAAGTCCTATGTGATTTCCTTTTCATCTCGTTATCATTGGAGAGCAGCTGTCCTCTGAGTGACTCCTTCACTCGTCTTGTTCAACTCCAAAAGATCTGTCCATGAGGACCTGGGATGCACAGACTTTTGAGTAGCTTACAGACTGTACTAAAATGCAGGTACTACCAAGGCTTATCTGAAGACTTTCACAGTGTATATATAATATATACTTTACAAAAAGTATAAAATTTTAGATTAGAAAAAAAAAAAAACAAAGCCAGCTTCCTAAATTTAATATTTTTTTAACAGTATGTGATATTCCTTGAAGCGTTACCTGTTCAATGGAGCTGCACATTCTTTTTCTTTTTTGCCTCTTTTCTCTTGAAAAACTATGCATGCAGACATAGCAGCGTCTTCCGTTTGTTCTTCCAGATTTATTTGCAGACAAATAATTGAGGAAATGACGTAACCTCATAAAACCTAGCGTTACCAATTAATTTAGATAAAAAACATGAATGAATGGTACCCATTCGATGAAAAAAAAGATAATTTTATTTTTTACTAATAGATAAGTTTAGGAATTGTTTTATAGAAATAGTAAATATATATTTTGAAGTAAGACTAATTTAATGAACATAAACTTGTATTTAACAATTAAATTCTATGAAACTTTTATGTACACTAGTAAAATAACTCATAATAAACAATTTTAAAATATGTGAATAATTAATAAATTAAAAAAAAGTGCAGATTTATTCAATGAGATCCCTGTGGCTAATGCTGCTCTTTTATTTTTTCTGGCTCTATCAATATCATTGATAGTTGAAGATTCTCACTTTTCACAATGTCTTGTCTTTGATAGTGAGACACACAACTAAAACCTGATTCAACAAGATGATGGAAATGCAATAACGTAGAGCTGTGCTTTTTTTCCAAAGTAGTGGATATATTTTAGCAGTGTTCATTTGTTTTCTATATATTATGCTGCTTTCATCTTTTTTGTGTGAGCCCCAGTAATGTTACATGGTTCCCCGACCCAACCCCAGGGAACCACTGGTTTAAATCATCGATTGATGATATCTGCTGATCTCTAATGAAGCATCAGTTAATGATGTCCACCATTTAAGTGTTAAAAAGTAATTAATTATGCAGGACATGATGTAACAATGAAATTTATCAGCTGTGGCAAATTTACTAAATCTGCATTCTTTTCTTTTTAATGTTAAGTGTATTAAAATATTAAACAAATTCTTTTTCATTTCTACATCTATTAAGCTCATTCTATTTATATATTGTCTTATTTGGTCATCACTAATAACCAAGTGAGATAATCAGTATGGGAAGGCAGCAAAGTAATTCAAATTCACTGAGACATTAAAACATACTTTTACTCTTTACAAGGATTTCACTGAAGCTCTTAAATGAGGATTATAAGGCATTAAGAATTTATTTCTAATTCAAGCACTTTAGCTCTTAATTATTACATTCATTTGTGGCTTTTCTAGTTTTATTTAACAATGCATAATAACTTATTCAACTATGCATAAGCATGAGATATATTATTGATGTAGCCATTCTTATTTTGAGTAATCAAGATTCATTGATGCCATGAGACTTTGCATTGTTTCTTGGCACCAAAAAAGAAAATGGTTATACAATGCACATCCAGTATTTCAGTTATTCTGAAGTAGCCATCCAATTTATTCTAGACAAGAATATTATATAATTTTAACAATTATCCCTTTCTACAGAAGAATTAAGGCAAAATACCAACATATTTCTGAAATGAGGTATTGTAATTATTTACATTGTTCAGACTGTTGTCCTCATCGTCATTGCCATATTCATGACATTTCGGTTGTTGTATGCTCCGGCCTTCTTCAGGTGATTGGAATTTCGAACTGAACCCTTTATTTCATCCACCAAGTAGATTGTTCTAGTTCCCCATGCCATGCCTCTTCCAGATATCAGTTATCTCCCTTTAACTTAAAGTTTTTGTTCACTTCAGCTACAGCACATACATTTTGAATTTTGGGGACTGATAAACCTAATATCACAGTGTTATGAAGTAGAGTAACCTCTAGAATAGATGTTGTCAGGTCAACAGATAGTAGCACAACTGCCATTTGCTGTGGTGTTCTGCTTTTATAGCAGTGCCTCATTTACATACAATACTACACCTTCTTGAATCAAAATAGCCATATGCCCTTCATTCGTCTTATTTACTTTTTTTAGATTCCCAAGAATAATTAAAAGGTCTTTCTTAGTATGTATCTTGATTTGTTCTTATAGGGGATCTAGGTCAGAGTTCATTTTCCTCTTCTGGCTCCTTGTCAAATTTCTGATCATTATCATCCATAAATTGTTCAGTTTCACTACTGGATTCATTAGTCCCCTTGTCCCCTTCATGTTGTTCACATATTCTTCATCCATTTCTATATCCTTTGGTTCCATTCTGCTTCTGAATTGATCCACATGAGCCAGTACATTTTGTTCATTTTTCGTTTATATTGTTGTGCTATCTCCTTTCTACAAAGTTCACATTCTCTGGATTAGATTCTTTGTCTTTTTATACCATACACTTTCGCTTGTTGAAAATGACATTGTTATGGAGGCTCTAATCTGTTTACCCATTAATGTGGAGGGACTTTGTAGTCTGCCAGTACATTGAATTATCCTATAGCTTAACAGTAATCTTGGTAAGTAACTCTCTCTATTATCATTAGATGGAAAAAATGCATTTAGTCCCATTTTCATAGTCTGCACCATTTTTTTCTGTGATTCCATTCAGTTATGGGTGGTAGGGTGGTGTTTTATAGAGGATGTATCCAATTCACTTTAGCCACAAGCACAGATTTTCCTAGCAAAATTCTGGCATATTATTTGAGATCAAAGTTTTAGGCACCCCATTACTTGAAAATATTGTTCTTAATATTTGTTTTACAGTGGTGGCTTTTCTGTCAGCAACCTTAATTACTTCTGGCCATCCTGAAAATGAGTCCACTAAAAATAAAAATAGCCCCATGCCTTTTAATATGGGCATGATCCATGTGTACTGGAGCTCATGGTTCTTTTTCTTTAGGCCACAAGTGAATTTTGTTTTGCTGAAAGTTCTTTATTTTAGCACATTTTGGTCATCTTTTTTACATCTCAAAGATATCCTGACCATCACACTTGTAATTTTAATTTCATTTGTGCTACTGTTATATCAGAATATATATCATCATGTACACCTTTTAGTACTTCTTAAAATCTGTAGGGTATTATTGTGGGCTCTCCATTGCATATTATGCCTTTCTCTACAGTTAACTTATGCCTTGATTCTTTGTAGGATCATTTGACCGTTCAAGAATTGCTCCATGTGTTCCTTTTTATTCTGTCTGAAATTCTACTTAACACTGGATCTTGTATGGTTTCCATTTTGAGACGATTTAGGGATAGCATGTTCATTTCAATCCAGTGCAGTATTTTATCTTCTGAATTTTTTTACTGCCAAAATTTAGTCCACATACATGTTTAGAATAGTTTATGTATACACTGAAATCAAAATCCATGAGTTTTATAGCCTGTCTTAAAATTCTAGATGTGACTTTTGGTAATTCCTTTGTGATGTTAAATATAAACTCTAAAGGTTTGTATTCTGACTTTAACAAAAAATTTCATCCTAATAAATAAATTTCAAGCTCTTTCTGTGCTCCATACTATTGCTAATATTTCTTTCTCAATATTTGAGTAGTTAGTTTCAGTTGACATTAATTTTCTTGACAGTTACACTATTGGATGACCTTGAGGTAAAATTGTGGCAACTTGTATCCATAGTCAATGTCAATGTTTTTTCTTGTTTCTTCTTTTGTTTTTTTTTTATCAAATATTTTCTTATTAGTGCCTTTTTTTTTAAGCTTTCAAAAGCTTTATTTCACCTTTTGAGATCATTTAAATTCTGTATTCTTTTTCCATAATTCTGCAAATGGTTCTATTAGGTTGTTGTATTTAGGTAGATATTTGCTATAAAAATTGGTCAATCCCAGAAAGGATTCTAATTCTTTTTTATTTTTTGGTGTAGATACTTCTGATATTTATCAGTTTATTATCTGGTGAAATTCCTTCTCTAGATTTTTGGTATCCCAAATACAGTATTTTGTCACAATTTAATTCACATTTATCACTATTTATCATCATAACAGAATTTTTTAATTTGTTTAAAACTTGTTTTTTTTTTTTTTTTTTAATTCCTACTGTAAGCATAGTGTTTATATTTTTACCCCCCTCCAATAGAACTTCTAGTATCTCATTTACATACAATACTACACTCACAAACTATTGTTTAGCAGAGCTCATATTGATCAGGCATGGCATGTGAAACTAGAACAATCTACCCCAAACAAAATGAAGGAAACAACATAGTATTAAAAAAATATGTTGTTCTTTATTGCATGAGCCAGTGGGTCATAAAGTTGTCTAGTAAGCAAAGATGACAATATTCCACTGATCAACAAGATTTTGTGGTTCTTGATATCTTTCTTTTTTTTCTGTCTTTCACATGTAAATGCTGCTGCTATATTAGGTGCATGCAAATGTTTCCAGCATGCATTTTAACTGAAAATGGAATTTCTTTTCTCCCAACCCTGAGTAATACTCAGAAGAGACATTTAGTATGAAATTTAATTATTGTTTATTTTATACCTTAAATCTCTCATGAAACAGAATAAGTTAAGACAAAACTTCTACTAGCAAGCTGAAAGACTAAAATTAATTATAAGAATGCTAATTCAACAAATCCAATCAGCTCTTGGGGTCCAAAGTATCAACACTACTGTCATAATAATTATAAAAGTAATGCCTGATCAACATTTATCAAATTCTTACATTGAAAAAAGCAATGTGATAAAATATTAATGAAAGTGATTTTTTTGTGGACCTGGTTTAAAATGAACTAATTCATTCTACTTTCTCAATTAGGGCTCCTCATTTTTCCAAGAGAGAGAGAGAGTACCAAGAACAAAATGTCATTAGTGGAACTTGGCAAACGTCTGCTGGATGCTGCCAAGAGGGGTGATACAGATGAAGTTCGATCATTGATGTCCAATGGAGCACCCTTTACAACAGACTGGGTAAGTTTGTTTGTTTCGTTTTTTTTTTTTACTGATAGTTCATTCAATACGAGGCACAAGGACTGCTTATGGTAGAGGGTTACTGAGGAAGATTGAAAGGAAGATGAGGATGAGTAAGATAGATATTGGTTGACCCAGGACTTAAAGAGTTGGTCTCTATGTAGTTGTCAGGGAAGCATTCTCTCTGGAGTAACAAAGTAACAGTTCTGAGAAAGAAGCTGTCCAAGTTGAACTTGCTTTTTATCAAAGAAACACAAATGGAATGATTTGACATTATGAACATGACATAGCCGGTTTGAGCTGGTGGCACTAAGGAATGTAACTCGTCAGAACATCTACCATAGTAATAGCAATATCATAGTGAAAGGTTGGCAATGTTTCATCTGTGGGATAAGGGTTGCAGAGTGGATGATTCATCACCCACAAAGCCACATAAGCACTTTTGAATTCTGTCAGGGCTGCACAGTGAGAATTGGGCAGCACCAGCCCAGATAGGGTAGCAATATTCCATTCTTGGTCTGATCTGACTCTTCTAAAGATAGAACATGGCATCAGGGGTTAGGTATTTTCTGGGGGGGGGATACAATGAACTGCCAGCATATTTTGTGATGGTGAAATATATTTCCATTTGAGAGAGTGGGTGTGAGTTTTAGACCCGGTAGGCCTTCAAGGCAAGGATCCTCTTTGAGGGTATGACCACTCATCAGAATTAGTGTGGTTTTGGGGGTCTGCTTGGTGGTAATGAAATTTTACGATTTTAGTTTTGAATGTATGCTATTAAGTTGGCCCAAAAGTCCTGACTCACTTAGGAAGTGGAAAGAAAACAACAAAATTTTATGGAACAACACCACCATTTATTGTTCAAAATAAAATCCATAATTCTCAACAATTCTCTGCCAACCATCAGCCAGAAACCAGTCTGCTGGCTTTGAATCAAAAAACTGTAAACAAGCTTCCTTCACTTCATCAGGAGTGTTGAATCACTGGTCACAGGGGAAGTGTGCCATTGAGCGGAATAGGCCATAGTCACTCAGAACAGCATCAGGACTGAATGGTGGATGTGGAAGAATCTCAACACAGTCTATCTGTTTGAACTTCTTAGTCAACTTGGCAGTGTGTAGTCTCACATTGTCTTGCTGAAACAAAGGCCAACCTTGATTGACCGAAGCAGGATACTCTTTTTTTTTAGTTTGTCGCACACGCAGTCCAGCTGCTGGCAATACAGTTTAGTGTTTATGGTGTGACCGTGTGGAACAAGCTCAAAATGTAGTACTTCTTGAAAATTCCACCAGACAGAGATCAAGATTTGTTTTTTGCTTCCTAAGTGACTCAGGACTTTCTGACCAACCTAGTATTTTAGTTGAAAAGGAAGACATACAGTTGGCTATCTGTATGACAAGCCTTTATTTACATATATACATTTCAAGAAACAGTAAGGGTAGAGTTAACAATTTCACTATACAATTTTAAGCAGTTCATGACCTTTTCAATTTATAGCATGTAAGTTGAGATAATAATCTGGGGTCAAATGCAAATAAACACAAGAGCACTTGATAGGTACCACTTTCCCATAAAGAGGGTTAACGCAAATATCTAAGGAGCAATTGGTAGTTGATACTTTCACCTAAAGGAGGGCTAAGGCAAATAACATACATGAACAATTCAGCAGGTGAGACTTTCACCAAAAGGAAACAACTAGTACCTGGAACAAAAGTTCAAAGGGAAATAACTAACACTGACTCCGATTCATCTTGCCACTTGTCTGATGCCACACCTTTTTATTGACAAGTGACATGGGGGGGGGCAGATGGAAAAACTGCTGACAGAAGCTCAGATGTAACAATTTGAAAACTGGCATCACATTTCTTCCCATTTTTCTTTTCTTTTCTCATGGCCAGTATTATGTATATTTGATGCCTTTTTCACAACTCTGCATGTAAATCTTCACCACATAGCATCATATTGAAAAATAAAATAAAACACATTAGAAACCATTTTGATGGGAACTACATTTGGAGATGATCACCTCCCATCCCCTCTTCCAAATCCTAATATTTCAAGTTATCTTTTTTCAATTTTTGACAAAAGCCTGCACAATTTTATTTTTGATTTACATTATACTTTGTCATTTTTGTAAATAAATACTTTTTTATTATACACTAAGATATCATGAGATAGGTGCCTAGTATCATGTTGGAACCTCCTCAATCCCAGCAAAGTGCAGTAACATAGATTACACAAGAGACTGAAAGATGTTGAGCCATGCCATCTAGATAACTGTCCAAAACTGATATTTGCAGGTATTAGATCTTACATGTAAATAGACTTTATCAAGCATCCCACAAATGTTTGATTGGGCTGGCCTCAATTCAAGCCACACAATTTATCAGAAGTTTTCAGAATGTTCCCCCAACTAATTGTGGGCCACTTGGGCTTGATGACAAAGTGCATTACCCTGTAAATATCAACCATCACTGTTGGGGTACATGGAATCTATGAATGGGTATAAATAGTTGCAGAGTATTGCAACGTAGCAATCACTGGTCAATATGTTGAGGCAGACTAGCAGACCTGATCCATGCCACACAGACACACCCCACATCATTGTGGAAGTACCACCACACCACACAATGCTTCATTGAAAACTAGAGTTCATAGAAGCATGAAGTCTGCACATCACCAAATCCTATTATCAGCTTGAAACAATGGAAACCGTGACACATTACATTATGCCACATGACATACTGGATATACATCTACTTTTTTCTGCATTGAATGTAGATGTCATTTGAGATTGTATTGCTTGTCTGTTACTACAGAAAATTCTAGCCTCATGTGTCTGGTCACAATCATAAGGACCAATGGTTGGCCACTGTATTATTCACGGTAGATGGTAATGTCTCTCATCAGGTATTCCCAGAAAACATACAACATTGTAGATTGCGGAGTATCAAATGCCTCCACAATATAAGAAACAGAATGTCTCCTCTGTCACTCACTATGATGCCTTATTCGAAATTTGATAATTCATGTCACCTTCTCATGAGCATTCTAGCTGCTATTCAAACTATCAAAATATCAGAACACAATTGATATTGGCCTGGGCATTTCTATGACGTCAACATATAGTAGCACACATACCTGCTTCTTCATTTTCTATGTGCCGTGTCCATTCAGGACATTGGTGATCATGGCTCTCTACAATTTCCTCTCTTTTGTAGAGCTTAATAAATTTTGTCTATTTGTTATCTCTCCTGAACCCTATTCTTACACATGCTCACCAAGTAGGTTATGCATTGTTTTCCTCTCTCTCTTACCTTCAATCTGTCTCATGAGTATCAAATTTTCCAAGCCCTCTTTCCTCATTATTGTACCCTAGAAATTTCAATTATCTCTCTGATATTAAGTATAAGTGTCCTTTATGTTTCAATTTTCGCTAAAACTTTGTTGTTCACATGTTCAGTACATGGTGTTTTTAGCATCCTTTTGTAGAATTACATCTCTGTTTCTGCAAGTCTCATCTTCACTTTAAAATATTGCCTTCCTATGACTTTTGGCATGTCAGTGTATTTCAAAAGCTATTTCTCTAAACCCTAAAGTTTGTATTTTTTTTTTTTAAATTAAAATCATTTGCATAAATTTCTTTAGAGATGAACTCTATTATCACCAAGTGTTATATATGACCTTTTTCTTCTCATCATATAAGCTGTTGTCATTTGAGAAAGGCTGTATTGATCTGTCCTCAGTGTATACTGGATACTGCTTCATCAACATATTTATATTGATTGTTGCTGCAAGAAAGCTTCTTGTTACTTGAACTGCAACACCTGCCGCTAACCATTTCAACTTGACACCTAATCAACTTCTAATATCTTTCAACTACCAACTATTTATAAACCCTGGCCCTCAACTGAACAAAAGTGGCAGGGGGTGATATCACAGTAGTAATGAGAAGTCTTCATTCAACTATCCAACATTAATTTACAAGTTAATGTTTGCAATTATACATATATTTTTGTTTTTGTAATTAATCAGTACAAAAGTAGAGCGTTAATTATTTTACTCCAAATAAAACAAAAAAAAAACCCACAAATCTCCACTTCTATTAAGTTTTCTTTTTACAAAACATGATGCAAGTTGAATCTATGTTCCCATGACAGGTTACACAATCCTAAATTGTATTTCTAAATACCAGTTGCCCTTTGTTTTTTCTAACCCTAACCTATTTTATGAGTTCATTTAAAAAAAAATAAATATGGGTAGTGGGATTACTTGCATATTGAAATCTGGAAACAAGTGTATGATTTCTCCAGGTAATTAGGATGCGTGGGTTGTGTAATGGATAGCAGCTCGAGATGAGAAATCAGAGCTGAGTTCAAATTCAAGTTGGGTTTCTTATACACAAATACCCTTGGGAAAGGTATAAGTCCATCTCTGCTTTCCCCACCTCATCTATAGGTTAAATAGTAGGACTTGTATCTGGAAAAATCATTATTATTCTCAAAAATGTCTGAATTTTTTAGAAGAGGAATTATTACAAAAACAAGTTGGAGTTGGGATGCTGAAGGTAACATCAATCAGCTAAGTGACAAATCTTTACCTTTTATTTATATATATATATATATATATATATATATATATATATATATATATATATATATATATATACACACACACACAGAGTTTTAGCCATTATCAAGGATGAATTTCATTTTTACTTTAAATGAATGTATGGATTGTTTTATGTATGTATCTACTGTTATGGGAATGTTTTATCTTCCAAACACAGTCAGCACATTGTGGCCATGTTCATAGTTGATATTATTGACTGTTGGCTTTTCCTTTTTTTATCAATAATGCTCCCATTGTTTATTAGCATCTGCCTTTTCTCTCTTTTTCTTTTTTTTTTACATGAGGCTATAATACTTGTATTATTAACAAGTATGGTAAGTCTCCATGTGTATTTAAATGAGACTTAATAAAAGTATAGCTGAAAAGGCTTGGACATATAAAACATTTGGACAATTTTTATATAATTTATGTCCAGAAAAGAAAAAAAAAAACACACATACTCACTTTCATTTATTAGACATTGAATTATATCACCACATGTTGTCCATAAACTTACCCAACTTTTCTGTTAACCTGATTGATATTCATGAGCACTTAAAAAAATTTGGAAAACTAATACCATTTTTAATACATTTGCCTTGATAAAGTCCCTCAGAGTATGGACACATTGGCTGAGGTAAATTTTCTTTTGTCTTTATTCATATATATCATTTATTCAAAAATTATAACATAAAAATGTTATAAAATCATTACAAAAATAGGGATTTTGTTTCAACACTTCTGGTGTCTTATCAAGTGATGGTGTTGAATGTAGAATAAAGGGTTTTAAAAGGTTCAAATCAATCAAACACCCCTCGCTAAGGGGAAACGCTGTTACATAAGATGGAATGACCAATCAAAATACAAGTATGAGAATTCTTGTATGCCTAAAACGTGATTCTTTAAATGTAATTAAAAATTGTCATTTTTTTGTTTCATTTTTTTGTTCTATACAGCTAGGGATGTCACCATTGCACTTTGCTGCCAGGAATGGTCATTTTCAAACTGCTGAAGTTTTACTCAGAGCTGGAATTAGCCGTGATGCTCGTACCAAAGTCGATCGGACACCTCTGCATGTGGCATCACAAGAGGGACATGTGACCATTGTGGATTTACTGCTGGCAAATTCAGCAGATATAGAAGCAAAAGACATGGTGAGTTTTATTCCTATGAAAAATTTCTCTATTTAAATAATCATAACTTCTTCCATTTTAAATGCTGCTTAGTAATTAGCAAGGGCTTTCTAATTTTACTGATAAAATGGTTGGTTGTGGTTTGGGTTTCACTTCCAATCTCTCTTGATTTTTATTCAATACAACATCCATTCATATACTTGTAAAATTTAAAATACATAAGGATAGAATATATAAGGTCAAAGTTGACAATAACTTTTAAAAAAAAAAGAAAATCCATTCCAAGTATCTATATTTGATTACCAATAAAGAATGGTTGTTTATATTTCAGCATTTGTTCAGATTATATATATGTAAATAAAATATAATTACTTAAACATTATTTTTAGTGGATACCCATATTTGAGTAGACACTCATTTTATTTATTTATTAAACAGTATATTTATTTTCATCTACCAATTTGAATATTTGAGAAATCTTATTGATCTAACAATAGTTTCTTTAAGGGGGTTGCAAGCCTAGAAGAAAGTTAA